CTGAATTTGGTAGCGAGCAATGCACTGTTCAGTTACCTACATGGCATCTTAAATGGGCGATTTCTTTTTAATATTGGTATTGCTGTACTTTGCTATTTCACTGATGTTGATTTGTGGTTTCTTTCAGATTTGTGTTATGTTGAAGTTACAATCTGTCTGAACATACTGCAAAGAATTTTGCAGCAGTATGCTACAGTGGAGAGTCATAGATCTGATTGTTGTCATAATGGGGAAAAATAAGTCTGATTTGGTTTTAAAAAAAAAAAAGCATCAGAAGTCTTGGATTCTATTCCTGTATTTGGTTTGTCACTTTCAGGGTGTATTTTGTGAGACTGCTACAGGAAGGGTTTGTGTATCGCTTTGTTTCCTCATGTATAAATAAAGGAGTATAGTAACCTACTTTCTAGAGCTACCTACGCCTCATCCTCTGCAACAAACTTACAACAAATTGCTTCAATCTATCAGTGTTTGTTCTCTTAGGGAATTGCACAAAGACAGAGCAATCGTAGATGCATAAGCATGCTGATTGCTCGAGAAGAATTCTCTAGAAGTCTGTCTAATCAAGAGAAAAACTGTAACCAGTTTAGAAGAGCTTCCAGCATTGTATAGACAATTCAGTGGCTAAAATCTACTCAAGCCACTGTCGAGATGTATGTATCATGCAAAATGTGACTCTGTGAAACTTGTTCAGTTCTAGTGCCCTGGAAAACACTATCTATGAGTTTCATTTGAACATCTGAGTGGCCTGACCTTAATGAATCTTTTCATTACATGGGTAAAATGTAAATTTCTCTGAGCAAAAAATGTGACATAGGCCTTGCCTGTGGAAACTTACCTTTGTTCATGCAGGTGGTGATGAAGTAGTCTTGGCAGTGCTGGGACTCCTTAAAGAACATCTCTAGTGTAAATGGCTTAGCTGATTAACTGTTTAACTATTTTAAGTATTAATTGTTTGATTTCTTTGTGAATGTCTCAGACGGTCATTGACTGTGTACTTAATTCAACAGTGAGATTTATTTTCTTCTAGACAACCAGATGTTCCAATATTTTATCACAGTTGTGCCAACCAAACTCCATACGTATAAAATTTCAGCAGAAACTCATCAATTTTCAGTGACGGAAAGGGTAAGTAGAAGTAAGAGAAAACTATGCAGAGAAAAATCTAACAGTGATTGTTAACAAAAACTGAAATGTGAAAATGGAGACTTAGTTGTAGTGTCGTTTTGAAAACTCCTCTAGCGTGAAGACACTCTTTGTGGAATATTCCACTGCACTAGATTTATCTTTAAATAATGTAATACTGATGGTAAAATATGTATGCTTGGTGACACATGCTAACTTCTAGCATTAGTGTTTTGCATCCATAGACCTGGAGTCTGATACTAGAATTAATGATAGATGTTCAGTCACTTCTGCTTCACTGGATACTAACAGTGGGGGTGGTGGGGAAATCCTGTAAGTTTTAGGTCTGTAACCATGTGTGGAGATTTACAAATATTTAGTCCACCTTTAGCTTTTTATCCATGTGGGAAGCAAACCAAAAAGCACATCTCAATTGAATGTCACGAACTTGGTTGTGGAGTGTTAGAAATGGAAACAAAGGTAGTGTGTATGAAAAACTAATCACACACAAAGCATCTCTGTCTCTCAGCTGTCTTGTTTAACCTTTGTTGAACCTCCAACTTTAAGTATTCTCCAGACTACAGAGCTTCCACTTCTGGGCTTGGAGAGGCTTTTATTTCTGAATCCATAAAGAAAGTAGTTATTGCAGCATAGTACATGGGCAAATCATAAGATAGTAATTTTAAACACAGCTGTAAAAAGGCCTTATGTGTAACAGTTACATGTCTCATCTCCAGACTCTGAAATCTGTTTTGATCTTTTACTCAAAAACCAAAGAAAAAGGTCTTTATGAAAAGTTTAATTAAAAAATTACAGATAAAGCAAGAGGTAAAAAGGAAGTGTTGGGTTGAAAGGATATTCAGAGATTAGAATGGCAGTTCACTGTAATACAGTTTGTAGTGTTCTCTAACGGAGAAAAATCTGTATTGCCTCACAATTCCCTGCTGTGCTTCTGAAAAATACGTAGCTAGGGGAAGTAGGATAGAGGTGATGTTTTGGGGTTCAACTTGGGATGCGCAGATGGGAAAGGTTTGCTCTAAAACTCATGAAAGCTGGAGTAAAGAGGGGAATAAAGAGGAATTTTGTAATGCAATATACTCCCATCTCCTGCTGGTCTAGCAATCTGCTTCCTGTTTTCTCTGCAACAGCTAAGGCACTCCTTAAACTTCTGGACATCAGTCAACTGCTTATCTTAATCCTTATTGCATTTTTTCATCTTGTATTCAATTTTTCTCTCCTGCTATAAAGATAGTTTCTGTCAATTAACTGTGCAGTCTTAGTTAGCTCTTTAATTTTTTCTGGGGATGTATTTTTTTTTATGGAAGTTGCAACACCGTCACAGGTTGCTGAGGAGAAAAGCTTGTGAATAGCCGAGGTAAAGTGGCATTACATACTTACTTGCTCTGGCTGTCTGGGTAGGTAGCCCTGTTGCCTGTAAAGCTTGTTTGTGTTTATCTTTGGAAACCAAATACCCCTAGCAGATGAGCTGGGAAAGGCTATTAAGAGCAGTTAACACTGAAGGACTTAGTGCATTTATTTTATAAGAATAGGCACATAGGCAGACCTGGAAAAAGGTGGTCAGCTAGGCATGGCTAAACCTTGAATATGGTGAGGTTTAATTGCCAGTAGTGAACAGACTGGGAAGCAGGGTTTGAAAAGTGCGGGCAGACTCATCTCCACTAGTGCTGATGTTTGAGATACTGTTTATCTATGTTAAAAAGATGTAATTCTAGCAAGGCTTCACTGATACCTGAGAGATCTGATGCAGGGCTCCTTATTTTCAGCAGGTTTTAGCAACCAACAGTTAAATCTTCTGCAGCAGTAGAAGTTAGAAGCAGAGCAAAATGGTTTGTGGAAAAAGAATCATATATCTTTTGACGGTGGAGTTTTGGGCATTCTGTTTAACTTAGTGTTCTTTTTTCAACATTTGACCTCAAAAGACCAATAAGGTTTAGGGAAACAATAGAAGGAAAAAAAAAAGTATTTTTTGTGCCTTGCCAATGGCAAGGTTATGTTTAACTACCCTCAGTCTTCTCTTCCTTCTTAGTATACCTGATCATCCATCCTCTAATGCTGAATGTTGTCATGCTTTTGAAATATAGAAAGCATTCTGTACTGTTTTGGGTTGGTTTTTTGTTTTGCTTTGTTTTTTTGTTTTTGTTTTTTTTTTTTTTTTTTAACCATTGCAAAGTTTCTGTGACCTGGTATCGTAACTGATACATTATTTTGGCATCCTTTTTACTTTGCTTTGGTAGCAAAAGAAGCAACATGGTTTATGTCAATGTTAGCTGACTGGAGAACTTGCCTAGTCTGTATTTTCCAAAGTGGTATTCTGCTTTTTATTTTGTACTGCATGTTTTTTTTGAGCACAGAGTGATAAATCTACAGGTGAGATGGAGCTGTGGTATATTGCTTTTCTGTTCTGTCTTGCTTGTCTGTCGTCTTTACTTATATTAGCCTAGACATGACTGAGTTCGTCTTCAGTCAATTACGTTCTTTTCTGCTGCCCTTGTATATTTTCAGCCAGACTTAGCTGGCAGTGCATTTATCAACACCTTTCACTAACAACAAAATGATAGCAAACTTTTGAAAGAAACTTAAGATTGTGTTGAGACTTTTTTTCTCTTGTAACCTTTTTAAAAAAGTAGAGATTTATAGCAGCCACATTCTCCTCTTTGGGGTCTTTTGGTTTAAGAATTTGGGCAAATGAGAAAAAACTGTAGAAGTTCTTGGATTAGGACTGAGACATCTGATCTGTTTAGACTAGTCATGGCGAGTTAGTTGTTATTTTATTGAGGTGTATTTCTTGCTGTGTGACTGTTGTCTGAAATGACCTGACTGTCAAAAATTTTGAAAAGAGGCTTGATACTGATAATCAGTCTTCAGACCCCAGAAACTTTGAAAAAAATCTCTCTCCCCCCCCCCCCCACCCCCCCCGCTATCAAAGTAATGGATTATGGCATATGTGTAGTATGCACTGAGGAAAAAAATGGCATTGGTCTTATTTAACTTAAGCTTCTGAATTTCCATTATGGTATACTCTAGAGTCTTTCCTGATACGTTGAAGAACCAGCAATTAAATCTTCTGTGGCATGTGAATCTAGAGCTATGCTCCAAGGAAGAAGGAGAATGAAGCCTAATGAGTCTTAGATATAGAATCATAGAATGGTTTGGGTTGGAAGGGACCTTAAAGACCATCTCGTTCCAACCCCCTGCTGTGAGCAGAGACACCTTCCACTAGGCCAGGTTGCTCAAAGCCCCATCCAACCTGACTTGAACACTTCCAGGGATGTGGCATCCACAGCTTCTCTGGGCAATCTGTTCCACTGCCTCACCACCCTCATGGGGAAGAATTTCTTCCTGGTATCTAATCTAAACCTCCCCTCTTGCAGTTTAAAGTCATTGCCCCTTGTCCTATCCCTACATGCCCTTGTAAAAAGTCCCTCCCCAACTTTCTTGTAGGCCCTCTATGTACATTTATATACATCCTCTGGGAAAACTGCCCTAGCTAAGGCTGTTCAACAACTTCAGTGTTTCCTGAAGGTCTCATCCTGATTTGTGATTAATAGTAGCACATAAAGTGGGAAAAGTTGGGACTCTGTATTATACCAGTGCACTCGAGTTCACAGGCTAGACCAAGACTGTGGCACTTGACCTCATAGATACCAAAAGCAACCTAGTTATGAACATCCTTGTTTAAAGGACCATGTTAGCAAATCTTGAGAGTTTAGTACCAGAGCCTGATAGTGAACGCTGATAGGCAGCACAGAAGACCAGTGACCAGGAACGTAGATTGTTATTTAATGATGTTTGACTTTTAGAAGGTACTGGCCAAAGTTATCTTGATGTTCCCTGGTCTTCTGTTGATTGCTAAGTCCGATTAAGTAACTCTTTGTCATCACATCTGTTAAGATTGTTTTCCTTGTGACTAATAAGAAGTGACTAACTTGTGTTTCTCATTCTCCTTTCAGGAAAGAGTAATTAACCATGCAGCTGGCAGCCATGGGGTGTCAGGAATATTCATGAAATACGATATCAGTTCACTTATGGTGACGGTCACAGAAGAACACATGCCTTTTTGGCAGTTCTTAGTGAGGCTCTGTGGCATTATTGGGGGAATTTTTTCAACTACAGGTAACTATCAGTGCTTTCCCTCTTAAGTTCTATCAGAATTATTTTTTGGTCATGATGATTGTGTTAGGGATAAATTACAGGGGAGTCCTGAACCTCTGGTAGGTTTAGGACAAAGTGCCCATTTGTGTGCACTGAAATGTGCAACAAAAGCTACTCATTTTTGGTGCCCCAGTATGTTGTTTGTCCTGTTCTGAGGGCCTATTCTTTCCGTTTTGTTAACTATAGCATAGTTTATTCACTTCTGGAAGAGCAAGGAGATAGAGAGAGAGAGAGATATATATATAGAAAGATATACATACACACGCACACACACACATATACTGACTTCTGATATTCTGTGTTTTGCCTATGGCTGGGGTCCAGTGCTAAATCAGTGCCAAAAGTTGAGATAAAATTTCTATGTGAAGTAATTGGGAGGATTTTCCTTGTGTAGCTTGTCAGTGTACTGCAGGATTTGCTGCTTCAAAGAAAATAAGTTGAAAAGGTGCAATTCACTTATTAGTCAAGACATAATAGGGTGTCTTGATTACAAGTTATTTCTTTTCTTGACCTTCACTTGAAGGGAGCATGGTAAAGAGACCTTGAATGAAGAGCTGCCTTTCAAACTAGGTATTTCTGTTGCACAGAATGTATTTTCACTTGTGAAAGCTGGGCAGGGGAAATTGTATTCGTTTGGATAGCTTTGGTTTTACTTTTATTGATGCATGTCAGAATATTAGAATCCCCGCCCTTATATTTCCTTTTTTATGTTAATTTCTTGGTGTTTTACATACCACTTTATTGCACTGTATAGCATTTAAGTATTGTATAGAGTTTTGTTGTAATACTTCCATAGATACTACGGTTTTACTGCTTGTGACAATTTAAATCTTGTTTGATATTGCAGGAATTTTACATGGCTTTGGAAGATTTGTAGCAGAAATTATTTTTTGCCGTTTCAGACTGGGCTCTTACAGATCGACATCGGTAAGAAAAACTTTCTCTAAGTACTAAATAAGTGGTACAGCTACCTGTGGATGGATGATAAGGACAACTTTGGGACTTGGTCCCCAGCAGAATTTAAGATGCTTCCAATAAACCCTCCACTTGACATGCATATGAGCGGAGATTCAACAGCTTTTTAAAACAGCTGGAAAACCTAACATGTAAGGAAGCAAGGTGTTTTCTAAGAAGCTAAATTAATGAAACTGAGTCTCTTAGAGGTTTCTCTGCTACATTCACTCCATCATCCTTACTATATCCTTATTATTTTCATATTGCTACAAAAAGTACATGTTTTCCCAGGCCTCATCAGTCTCCCTCACGTATTCTTCTTCTGCTTGGCCTGCTGACCGAAGAAGAGGCACTGTGTGCTGCAGGGGTTTAATGTTGCCACTGATGAGCCTGCTGGCTACTGCAAAGCAGTGTGAAAGAGTCGAGCAGTCCTTCCCTTTCCCTTCATTGGGCATTAATAGGATTTCTCCTCTAGCAACTACTTGATTTTATTTTACTTTTATTTTTCCCATTTAAGTTGGTAGCCTTTAAGACTTCTGGCTTTCTCTCTAATTTGGCTGAAACTTGCCAGCTGGCAAGGTTATATGAGTGAGGGAAGAGGAGGGAAGGCAAGCAGATTTGTATAACTTGTGTTTGAGAGACCAGGCAAAAGGCATACAAGAAAAGCCCAAGAATAAAGAAGTGTGTGTTTTGGAGAAGGGAGGGGAGATTCTGTTTCTGGACAAGCTGTTAATAACATTTTGTTTTTGTTTGACTAGGTACCACATCCTGATGGCGACACAAGCAACCACTTACCTCCAATTACAGACAATAGTACGCATTAGCCTCCTGAGAAAATTTTCTTTCTTCCTGCCTGATACAGAAGACATTTTTTTATAGTAAAGAAAATGTTGTGCAATATGCTGAGACAGTGCTGACGGGCAGCGTAAAATGAAGCCTTTACAAAAAAAAAACCAACACAAACCCACAACAAAAAACACCAAGAAACAAAACAAACCCAACAAAACAATTTGTGTAATTTTTTGTCTTTTCTAAGTGCACATGGAGTCATAGGAGGTTGTGAGACCAGTGAGGTTGGACCATCTTCTGGAGATCAAAGGAGAGTTGCTGCCAATACAGTATTCGTGGTCGAGCTGAACGCCTTTGCAATGACTGCTGTTGGCCACTGAAGCATCTTGGGGATCTTGGTTCTGTGCCTGGGAAGGCGAGCAGGCTCCAAGGAGAAAAGAGTGCAAGCGGGATGTGTGGAAGGGCCGGGCAGCAGGCGAAGAGGGACGGTAACAGAGCTGGGCTTTCACTTAGGTGTACAAACTGGGGTTTGGGTTTTCTTGTTCTTTTGTAATGGTGGGGCGGGGGGCTAAAATGTTATCCTCACAAGTGGGGAGTGATCCTGGAAAATCCTGAAGAAGACGGAGGTGAGAGAGAACTCAGGGAGTAAGGTGGAGCCCAAACCATAATGTTGGTCGTAGCTGCTGCCTTTCTGTAGTCCCACCATTCCTTAGCAGAAGAAATGTAATGCAGAGCACAGGAGTTCCTCTGTGTTGTCACACAGGCGATTTGCCAGCAGTGAGAATAACGCTTTTGGTGGTGATGTGGAAGTGCCCAAGGACTCTGAGAGTGGGCTCCAGCATGCACGGTGTTTTGACTTTGAGTAAGAAGGCTTTTAAATAAGGCATTTGACTGTAGTTTTTGGTAAAAGGCAAGACTCCCTAGCAAAAGATCAGGAAATCTTTGTACGCCTCTTTCTTGGTAAAGAAATTGCTTTGATGGAGCCTTCGTTGTACCCTTGCTGCTAGTGTGTAAGCCATGGTATGTAAATCCTGGAGGTGGGGAAGGAGAAGAGCGAGAAGCTGCCTTGCTTCAGTTCAGCTAAATACTGCAGAAATGTGGCATTCAGGGCAGCTGGGAGTTTGCTAGCCCAGGCAGGGAGTGGTGGAGTTGGTAGTAGGTGGCTTCAGGGAATCTGAAATCACTTTGCTGCAGACAGATGATGAGAAGGGATCTGCAGAATTAATCCTTACTGTTCATGAAGGTTTTTGTAAAATAAATGAAGAGAGCAATATCAGTTTTATATTGTAAATATGTTACTGAGAATGAATGTTATTAATGCAGATGGTGCTTTGAGAAACTAAACATCCTCTTACTGTTGAACTACTGGCATACACCTGTGGTTAAACAGTTACTCCACCAGGGTCAAAAATTAATAATATGATTCCTTCTCAGCAAAACTGATTTAATAATATATTAGGAGATCATGCTGACCCTGGCCTTACCGTGGAATGAATGTTATAATTGAGAGGACTAATTATGGTAAAATAAAAATCTCTGTGGCATTGTCAGATTTTGCTGACTTCTGTTAATGGACTTTACAGGACACTTGGATCTTGGTGATGAACAGTGTGTAAATAATGTGTCTGATTTGCTATGCAAAGCAAAGGGCTTCCGAAACCGAGAAACCATAAGAAATAGTAAATAAAATGTGGGAAATGAGGAAAGACCTTTGTTGAGTTTGATAACTGAGAAAGAGAGAGGTTCAAGGAAGCTAGGTCCATGGGGTTGACAGCCAGGTTTGGGCTTTTCTTTTTTGTGTTTTTGTGGGTTTTTTTTTTGGTGTGTTGTGTGGGGGTTTTTTTGGTTTGTGTTTTTTTTGTTGTTGTTTTGTTTTGTTGTTTGGTTTGTTTTTTTTTTAACACTGATTGAAACTCCAGGAGCTTGAGAAACTCTTGTCCTTGGTGAGCAAGAAAATCAAAAGCTGTACATTTTTGGTTCCCATTTCTCGAGTTTGATGACTGAGAAAGAGAGAAGTTCAAGGAAGCCAGGTCCTTGGGGTTGACAGCCAGGTTTGGGGTTTTCTTTTTTGTGTTTTTGTGGGGGTTTTTTTTGGTGTGTTGTGGGTGTTTTTTTGTTTGTGTTTTGTTTGTTGTTTTTTTTTTTTTTTCTAACACTGATTGAAACTCCAGGAACTTGAGAAACTCTTGTCCTTGGTGAGCAAGAAAATCAAAAGCTGTACATTTTTGGTTCCCATTTCTCTCTGGCATTTCCCTCTCAGGTTTCTTCTGTACTTCTGCTCGGGCTGGTTCTGCTTTGGGCTTTGTCTAACACTTGTTTCTTCTCTGCCTGGAACAGACTGTACCAATGGGAGATACTGATCTCAGTTGACTTTCTGTACCAGAACTTAAATGTTATTTTCTATTCTCACATAAAAGAGCCAAGCGGCTTCATGTGTCTTAAATCCTTGTGTGGCGTATTCGTGGTGTTCTATCTAGAACAAAGCCTGTGTGATGGCTGGTTGCTAATGGAAGACAATTTGGGATCAACTTCCAGATGTGAGATGCTGGATGGTGGAGTGAATACACGCTCAGCTGATCCTGTGTTGCTGTGCTGTTTGCTGTCTCTCCACAGAGGGTTTGGTTGTTACAACTAGTACCACTTACCTTCTACCACATATTGTCATTAGCTTAACCACCATATGCGAGGGTGTACCAGAGAAAATAGTAGCTTATTGCATTGGCTTTTTTTGGTTATGCTTATTTATGTTGTGTAAAAGTGAGTGTAGTATGGAAAAATGAAAGGAATGGGTGTCCCAAGGGAAGGAAATCCTGATGTTGATGTGATGTGTATTTTCTGAAGGGAGGATAGTAGATGAAAAAGACCATTTTCTGGGTCAGGAAAGATGGTCAAAATTATGATTTTTCTTTGGTTCTTCCATGATGTTGAAGAGAGGGAGAACACAGGGAAGAAATTTTTAACCTTCCTGAGCTGCATTCACAGCTCGCCATTTGCAGACTCCTCTGGCTCCCCTGCCCCCCTCAGCTGTCTTCCTGGGCAAAAAGTCTTCCCCGCTTCCAGTTGGCGCGGTTTGGGTTTTGCTGCGCTGCTGCCGTGCTCTCATGGGGTGTAGGCTGTGTTAGCAGGAGCAGGGACGCCTTCACTGCCTCCAAGGCCTGGAGTGCTCTGCCTGGATGTGGGTGTCCCCCGCATCCCTCAAGCTGCACCCTGGTGTTGTGGAAAGCTGGCATCAGCCCCAAGAGGCGGGTGGGGGATGGGAGCGGGTTTTTCTCAATAACTCTGTTGTTTTTAGGGCTCAAGAGGAAACACCAAGCTATTTTTTTAACAGGACGGACCACCTTTGGCCCTGTCACCTGCGAGCCAGATTCACACAGCATTGACAAGAAGTTGCTGTAAAATCTCATAGTTAAGACTATGTTCACTGCTGTGTTTCTGGATATATTTCACAAACGATTTCTAATTAGAGAAAGAAAAAGGCGAGGATGAAACCAGCCCTGGCACCTGTGGGAGTTCAGTAAGGGCACTTGCTTACTTTACGGTACAGCAGAAGACCAGATGAGGTGTCTTGAGTGGGCAGGGGAGGCCGTACTGGGGAGGTACCTGCTCTGTGGAGGAGGCAGCAAAAGCAGGCTGGCAGGGTAAAAACTGAAGATGTGATCAAAACCCACAGCTGTGAGAGAGCATTCTTGGGGAGGGGGCAGAAATTGATCATGAGTTGACATAAGGAGTAAATTAATGTAATTTATAATAATGCTGTTTTCTAGATGAGTGAGGTGCTGTGCTCCTGAGTCATGTGAGGTGTGCTGTGGTGGGGGGTAGGTGAACAGTGCGATGACGGAGGCTGTGGAAGTTGGGCTGTGACGGATCCTACTGTACGTTGTGGCTACTGTCTTCATGCTGCCTGTGGCTCCGTCTTTCTTACCAGCTGCTCTGGTGTGTGTATTGGTGCCCATTGCAGAACAGACCACGAGAAGAGAGTGAAGTGGGTGCATGAATGGAAATTTCCCTGCTTCAGGCACTTTTCGTTCTTCCCCCCAGCTTTTCTAGCAGATGTTTTGGGCCTCTCACCGACAGGGAGGTGACGAAGAAATGCATGTGTGTCTGTACCAGGAGAGGGGTTGGGTTAATCGACATAGCAGACTTTCTTTAAAAAAGCAAACCCAAGCTGTTCTCCACTCCCCTGAAGTTCTCATCCTAGAAATAGGTGAGTAATTTGAAAGAAAATTCAGCTCTTTCCATCTCAAAAGCTCTCTGGTGGGGACCTGCTCTGAGGGTGCAGTGCCCGGCCTTTCTCTGCAGCTGCGGGCTCTGCCCTGTGTCCCTGGGGTGGTGCGTGGCGGGGCAGGGAGACGTCCTGGTGGAGTCAGTCCTGCACAGAGCTGGGCAAGGGCTCTCCCTCCTCTACCTTGCCCTGCCTGAAATCCTCTTAAGCTTTTCAGGGACCAGTGTGACAAACTGAGCCCTAAGCAGTCATCACAGTTGCTTAGGAACGATCGGAGGCAGATTCATATTTGGTATAAATGCAGCTGTGATTAACTGTACAGACAAAACCAAAGCTGTTGCCTCGTCATTTTGCTGTCTAGTTCTCTGTGAGACAACCGCGTACTAAGGATGGTTTGTATAACTTGGTACTGATGCAGTAACCTTGAAGCAGGAGAGATGCAATCACCTTGGTCATATCTCTGGTGGCACTGATGATACTAAAACTCCCTGTTCTTTATTTCTTCAGAGGTAACCAAGGGCTGCAGCTTTCTTTTGGGAAGATGGGAAATGAGAACAGCTTGTTTGGGGATACTTGCAAAGATCTCCATCTGTTTTTACAAGGCACCCCAGAAGGTGGGGGTGTGGAAGGATACATCTACAGTACACACTGCTTACTGGGATTGGTGCTTAGTTGCAAATGGACTTCTCATAAAGACACTTACTTATTTTCTACCAACACTCAGTTGATGCAAATAATGTCTAGTATTTGGCCTTGCTGGTAGTCTTGGTTTGGAGAAAATATCCTTGCCTGCATATATAGTTAACATAGAGTAGTTAATGCTTCAAGAAGCCTTAAGGGACTCTGTGTGCTGCCTTGGGTGCCCTAAAGTTTTGGCATTGTAGGTCTGTCCGCCTTCTGCCCTCGCACGCCTCGTTAGAGCACTGGTGTGCATTTCAGCTGGTTTGGTTAAAATGATATGAAATGCTTCATCTGTTCCTTCTGC